TATATATATATATATATATATATATATATATATAATCCATTCCCTCAAAAGATTATGTATACAATTCATAGCAAATATAATAGATGGCACAACCATTGGATTTAGTCCTATTTCGAATATAGAGGAGCCGTAATATGAGATGGAAGGGAGAAGGGTACCTAGCGTTCGAGCCAGTGATGCGGTGGACAGTGATCCTCATGCTATGAAAATCCGGAGTCCCTCCATTGCTGATTTCCACAAGCATTTGTTAGAGAAATCGATGGAAAAAAACAAAAGAAAAATTAGGAGAATTTTTTTTTAAAAAAAGAAAAAAAAAATATATATATATATATATATATGTATATTACAGGTTTTGCACCAACTCTTCGATGGATTGGTCGACACTTTGGTAGAACATAGAGAGAACATCGAGAAAATAACGAGGGTTTCCAATATCTTTCTGGATTATGAGCAGAATATCGAATTGATCATCGAGGAAACCCTGCCGATAATGCAACAAGAATATATATATATATATAAAAAAACATCAGAAGGATATATATATGTATGTATGTGTGTATGTATATGTATATAATGTTTCTGTCGATTTTGTCTGAATTGCAAGTACCTGATTTTTCAGTCTCTGTAAGAAGCTGTCGAATTCATCTCTTGGGTCCATCTTCGTCTTCTTCTCCTTCAGAAACAATGGCGTGAGAGTGTTTAAGTAAAGAAATAAAAATAGCTGTTTTATTAATATAAAAAAAAATAGGGAAAAAAGGGTTACATATTTTTTTTAATAAAACACATTTGGTAAAAACAACAAAAACCATTAAAAAAATAAATACATCTCATACTCTTTTTTTTTTTACTTCAACGTAGAGCTTCACATCAGAAAAATATTAAAGGGAGTTGGTAATTACAATCGTACTTATTTTTCTTATAAATTGTACATAGAGTTTAAATGGACTTAATGGTCAGAGTTAGATTTATTTAATTTAAATTATACATTTATTCAATCATTATCTATCATCAAATATTATTACCATCTATAAAGCTTTTGAAAATTTATGGTTTCACAAAAGGAAAAAAAAAACTAAATTCAAAAGGTAAGATTCCGGAAAAAGAAAAGGTAAATACAACGCAATCCGAACATTTTTGAAATTAAAAAAAAAATTAGAGGGTGTCGAAACGAGAAATGAGTTTCTTATTAGAGTAAATTAAAATTTCGTCTCCGACTATGCATTCAATTGAAAAGGCACACATGGAAAGCGCGACAACGCAGCCAATTCAAACGTTACGTTAGAAGAAGGAATCCAACGCCCTCACACGTATTCGCGTGGTTTTTTACGAATCGAAATCCTACCAAGGTGCATTGAATGTGGTTAGTTTTTTCAAAAAAAAAAAATTATTTTATTATTATTATTATTTGTTTTGTTAATTTTACCATTTACATGAGGTTTTGTTGGTATTTCCGTTTTGATAGTAATGCTAAACCAAATTAAACAATATACGGCTGTAATGAAATCGGATAAGATTAAAAATTCAATTGAATATATTTTTTTCTAAATCAAATTAATTAAATAAAAATAATATTTGAAAAGTTCAGAGAAAAACGATGTAAAAAAATTGAATAGCTAGGTACGGTTTAAATGTTATATGCAGATATGGAATATGAAATTGACACCGCTATCCTGAATAACAAATAAAAAAAAATTGAACCCGTCATGTCCTTTTCCCAACAAAAAAAAAGGAATGCACTTGTATTTTTTTTTTACCTAATGCACTTGTAATTTGACTATGCGACAATGGTAAAAGCATTTTAATTACAGAACGTGAAAATTAACATCCATTATTGTAATTCAAATTTTAATTTACTCCAAACCAATATCCAAACTAATTTCGAGATCCAAAATTAACCATATGTTTTGGATTATATTTTCTTGCCTCAAATTTGAGGTTCAAACTAGAGATAAGATATATTTTTGCTTTCCGTTTCACCTTTTGAACTATCCAAATTTGGGTAAATTAAGATTAGTGACAATGCATTTACTACACCCAGTCAAATAAATTGCATTTACCTCTCAAAAAAATATTCGTTTAAAACATATATAATCACTTATCGAAGCGAGTTTACCACTCAGTCACCCAACAAAAGCACAAACCCTAGCCTCCTTGTAAACCTTTCCCGGTCGACAATAGTACCCTTTGTTGGGAGCACAGTGCAAATCATCCGAGCAAATGCACAACCCTTCTAACGCGCATCCTTCCTCCACGATCGTCGCATTTCCCTCCAGCCCTAGAATCTGGTCGGTCCATTTGCTCGAGAACAGCCCCAACGGATCGTATCTCTCCTTCACCTTCAGGAACTCACTCGCCTTCCCGTACTTGTCGATCACGCCGTCGAAAGCGATGTTCCTGTTTTTCCCCCAGTGCGGTAATCCGTTGTACTTGAACAACGCGATTTGTTCGATCTCTTCAACAAAATCTTCGTAAAGACGTGGCGTAAGGGGATCTTTACTTCTGTAGTAAGTTAGATCAAAGTCTATGGCGTCGGCCTCTTTGCCCAGGTAGGCCGGCGAGGCCGCGACGTAACGCATGAGGACCCCGTAGTACAGCTCGAGGCCGCAGAGAGACTTGGGTTCGATCCGGACAAGAGCTTTGATGTCGTCGATGAAATCTGTGATGCGTACGAGAGGTACACTTATGGCGGTTTGGTGGAAAAACTCGCCTTTGATACGAGAGTCCCACGGACATGCCGTGATAAGCCCATCTTCTAGGCTATCCAGACAAGTTCCCGATGACATGAGATGATTCTGCTGTCCGATCACCGGATAGCCCTTAAATGTAATGCCTGCAGTACGTAGGTATATTACTGAACCGAAATTCATTCAACACGGTTCGCCGGTTCGGTTTTGGATGAACCAAATTGAATCTTAAACCTAATTTAGAACATGGGTTATTAATTGGTTAAGTTGGGTTTTATATATGGGCTGAGTCAACCTATAAAATTTTTAACTTATATAACAAATTAATAGTTTGGGTTAATGCAATCAATAAATTTTTATAACTCAAATTGGTTGACTTTATAAAAAACTTTATGTTTTTTATTTATCTTTTGTCTATTAAAAAAATAAATTAAAAATAGAGAAAAGTTAGAAAACAAAACTCTAAACGTGGTGTTTCTCAAAATTATACCGTTGCCCAACATAAAATTAGATAAATTATTTTCTGTATGATACTCGATCGTATAATTTTATTATAGTATTTCAAAAAAAAAAACTTGAAATCATCTAATAATATGTTGATCAATTAAATAATACGCAATTAAAAATAGATCGCTTAGGACTAAAGTACCGTTGCTTTTCAAACCATAAGCGGTAGCAAACAACGTAGAAGACAATGCCTTGGCTCCTCTGCACTTCCCATCTACATCTCTAAGCGATTCTTGTGTTTCCTCTGTTCGTTAAATTCAATAAAACAAATAAAATATAACATATATTTATTAATACAAAACTACTTTATTATGAACAATAAAAAAATAAGGAATATGATGATTTTATGTACGTACCAATAGAGCGGGCAACTGCCAAGGTTGCACTAAACTGTGAACGGAATAGTACGGAATCGTACAGACCATTACCGGACACGGCGGTTGGAACTCGGTCGTCGATTCGATAGACCACTTTGCCGTGGCTCGGGTACCACACGAAGTCCGCAAACTCATGCTTATGCCCGAATTCGGTTGCTTCGTCCCCTAGATTCCAGTCGTCTCTCATCTCGTACGTTATAGATCTCTTGAACATCGGTTGCAATTTAAATGTAACCTAACCGAATATATAAAAGATACGATGATCGTCAAGTCTATGACATGATATGATATGGATATTTTGGAATCATTACATTAGAATTATTTTTGAATATTATTTATAAGAAAAACCGTGCATTACATTAGAATCATTTTTTACCTGAGAGATAACGCCAAGAACACCAAGAGAAACCTTCGCCGCGTTAAACTCGTCCTCCGTGCTCTCGTTAAGAACCCTAACGTTCACGAACCCTTCTTCCGCCGTACCAGGGCTCACCATCCGAATCTCGGTCACGTGGTCATGGACCGCACTTCCTCTGCCCCACAGCGAGCTCCCGTGTGCACCGGTACCCATCATTCCACCGACCGTAACGCCCCACCAGTACGGACCGTACGGCAAAGCCATTCGGACAGCCGCAGCTTCATCTATCAACTGTCTCAGCGTTACGCCGCTCTCTACCGTCAGCGTTAGCGATGACACGTCGCTTGAAACCGTACGGTTCAGAAACTTGGTGCTTATGAGAAGACCGTTGCTAGCGTCGTCGTCAGTACAAGCGAGTTTAGGGATGCTGTGGGAGAAGCGCGTGACCACACGCATCTTCCGCCGGGCTTTGGTGGCGGCTGGAAAAAAACTAGAA